TCGGTCGTGGGGCTTGAGCTCTGGGCCTGGGCACTGTCCCTCAGCTCTTCAGCTCAAGGCGAGCGCTCTACCACTTGAGCCACAGTGCCACTTCCGGTTTTCTAATGGTTTATTGGAGATAGGAGTCTCACAGTTTTTCCTGCCCGGGCTGGCTTTGAACCTCGATCCTCAGATCTCAGCCTCCTGAGTAGCTAGGATTACAGGCATGAGCCACCAGCACTAGGCTAGGACTCAATTACTTCTACTACTCTCTTACATTAGCTCCTTGGTAATCTAATCTAGTCCTATTACTATAAATACCTGATTAGTGATGACTCAAATTTTTACTTCCAGCCAGGCACTGGAAGCTTATGCCTGTAATATTAGCTACTAAGGAGGCTGAGATGGAAGGATGGAAGCTCAAAGCCAGACTGTGTAGAAAAGTCCCCAAGAGACTCTTATCTCCAATTAACCACTCAAAATCTGGAAGGAGAGCTGTAGCTCAAAGTGGTAAAGTGCTAGCCTTGAGCAAAAGGAGCTCAGGGACAGTGCCAAGCCCTGAGTCCAAGCCTTATGATTGGAAAAAAAAAATTACTTCTAGACATTGCTGTCCCCTGAACAAGTCATTCCGTAGCTGAATGCCTGTAATCTAATATTTCCATGTAGATGGCTAAGAGGCAGCTCAAATGGAACATATTCATAGCCAGGCATGGTGATGTAAGATTGTAATCCCAGTTACTAGGAAGGCAGAGGAAGGAGAACTGCAGCTCAAGACCAGCCTAGGACCTGTCATCCCATCTAGGACAAAGATAGGTGGATTGAGTATCAAGCATACACCCATGCAGGAAGTAAGACCCAATCTCAAATAAATAGTGCAAAAAAGGGCAGGAAATGTGGCTCAACAGTAGAGCTCCTGCCTAGCAAGCACAAGGACATGAATCTAAACTCTATTAATGCAAAGAATAAAATTTAGCCCAACTTTTTCACTATAGAAGAAACAAAAGCTCAAGAAGACAAATGGAGACAGGAACTGGTGGCTCACTCTTACAATCCTAGCTACTAAGGAGGCTGAGATCTGAGGATCGTGGTTTAAAACCGACCTGGGTGAGAAAATCCATGACTTTTTTTTGGCAGGGGGTGGGGGGGGGGGGGGGTTGGGGTTAGTTCCTGGGGCCTGAACCCTGGCCTGGGCGCTGTCCCTCAGCTCTTCAGCTCAAGGCTAGC